GCTTGAATGATTTCTAACATTTTTAAACAATATAAAACAAAGAGTACTTTATTCATTAGTGTGAGTCATTTAGAAACATTATTATACTCTAAGGTAGACAGAGATCACCAAAGGATGGGGAGTTGTTGAGAAGAGTCTGGAAGAACACACACTCTACGGGGATGGGTGGGTACAGTGACTCTGTACCCCTAAATATACAAACATTCACATTCTTGTAAGAGAGTAAACACAGACACAGACACAGACACACAGACACACAGACACACACACAGACACACACACACACACACACTCAACTCTATTCCCATGAATGGTGCTGTGATATTCTAGCTGTCTGAATCTCTGAGCAATAATTCTGAAGTAGTCAGCTTTTTTCGAAGAGAGCATGATGTAGTCCAATAAAATTCAATATGCCTACCCCAGAGTTAGGCAAAGCCCAGCTCTGATGTAATCAATGCACAGCATGAAATGTAGAGAAAACCAAGAAGTAAAACCATGTAACCAAATCACTCTCTTCACTGTGCAGGCAGACTTTGTCATCAGTGCTTCGCATAGTCTCAGTGCTATAGTGAAATGTCCTTACTGATATTGTCCCCAAAGCTCTGTATATTTTTCTATATAGTTTCATATAACAAAACACGAAAGCTGTGGTCAGAACAAATGGCTGAGCATAAAACCTGATTAATTCAGTAGTGGAAAATCTTAAGAAGACTAGGAGAAAGCCTCCATATCCAGCATTACTGCTGTAACTAAATAATGCAGGAATCATACATTAAATTAATCAATTAAGCCACACCCCGAGGTGCTCAGGGGCTATCCCTGGCTCTGTGTTCAGGAGAGACCTGGCGCACTAACCCTGGGCTGGTCACCTCTGAAGCAAGTGCCTTACCAAGTGTTCTACTCCTGAACCGGATCTCCCAAGCAGCACTTGAAGGCTGGGGGAATCCTGGTCATTGTCAGCCAACTGAGCTGCCAGCTCTGAGGATGAGGTACCTGGGAGTGCACGGGTCACCCAGGCCCTACTCCAGAGCCTCCCTCTCCAGAACCCAGAAGAGACACTTGCTGTCATTCCGTGACAATGAGGATGATGCCTACATTCCCCATCACTTCTGTAAATGCTGAATCTAAGCCTGTGGCACTGCACACAGAGGGGAACCCAAGCAGTCCCTGCTGTGTTTGAAATCAGAGAAATCTCCCTACGAGCTCTCCAGAGCCGAACCACAGGCTGTGAGTAACACTGAGAGCAAGCAAGCAGGGTGAGCAGAAAGCATTCCATTTAGCAAACAGGGTTCTTTAACCCAAACTGACAGGTTTCAGTACATATTTATAAGGCTCGATGGTTATTATTAGGCTGTAATTGCAGTTGTTTTAACACCTAATAAGCCATGGTTGGAAAAACAAAGGCAGGTTAATTTGTGATTTCCTCTACTCATTCAGAGGCAAATTAAGTGTCAAACAGCTAATACAGAACATATTTCATTTTATGAGATTTTAATTTAATTCTGCACCATATCGTTGATGCCTTAATATAGGGTGGTTTATCTAAAAGGGGAGCAATTTATAAACCTCTTTCAATAGAATCTTTAATGATAGGGTATGATAGCATAATTATCACAATGCCGATGAGTCTTCTAACAGAGATCTGTCGGCATTTCTATCATCAACACAAATCCTGTTTGCAAGCGACTTATAATTTAATTTTTAAAGTTGGCAAAGAAAAACCATTATGTGTACAAAATAATGAAAATATTTTGAACTTCCATCTTTTTATAATTAAAAATATTTATTCAAAAAGTCAAGTAATCTCACTTGGTCTCATTTTCTAGAAGAGAATCATATAGTACTCATTACAGATTCAAATTCTAGATAATATCTCTTTTAGTTTTCCGTTTCCACTTTCCCCTTCAGCAAAGATTTGCTTTTAAGATTTCCATGACTAAGTCACATTTACCTAGTTACCCTCCACTCCCAAAATCAATAGCATCTCCTCAGAGCAGAGTTTTTCAACTTTTTATGCCTGTGGACCAGCGCAGCTTGTACTCCAGTTCACAGGTCAGCAATTATAACCAAGGCTGACCCAGAGCACCTCTGAAGATGCCAAAGCAGCCCAGGAATTCCTGACTGGACCAGACCAGAACAAAATGCCCCAGCTCGCAGGGCTCCCGTTGCTCACTGCTGATTCTCAGCAGTGCCGAGGGGATTGTGTTACTGAAAGTGTTCACCTGGTCTCACTTAATGTTTCCTGTGGCTGGGTGAAGACAGATCCCTTCATCTCCACACGATGAACCCAATACAACTGATCTTCAAACCATAAGGAGTTTGGGAGCCAGAATCAGACATTTGCATCCTATATGGAACCCTAAACCTGCCAGGTATGCCCCCCTCCAACCTTAAAAAAGTAAATGTCTAAAAACAAACTCCTCAATTAAAATTGAAGAATGAGGAATTTAGCAGCATTGACCTTCCCCTTCCCCCACTCCAACCCCCAAGTAAAAACTTTGGGTATACTCTTTCGACTCCCTTGGAAATTAGCTACAGTGTCCCTTGGTATCCTCACAGGATTGGCTCTTGGAACACCTTCTCCTTTAGTCATGAGTATAACACAAGAGTCAGTCACTAGAGTTCCCAACACAGATGAGTAGCAAAGAGAGAACAGCATTTATCTGTTCACTGCTGCCTCCACGACAGGCCAGTGTGAAGACCTGTGACCACCTTTCCCCAAGGGCCACTATCCAAACTGCTAGGGGGTAGTGTTCACCAAACACTAAATGATGAAGGATGTGGAGGGGAAAAATCCTTCAAAGAAGGCATGATGTGAGCACCAGGCTAAGAGCACCAGCCTTTGGGAAAGACACTGAAAGTCAAACCTGTTCTGTTGTTCTTGTTGTGGTTGTTTAGGGAGCTGTTTGCTTATGGGGGTTGGAGGCAGGGTAGAGGCTGAGCTATTCCCAGCTATGCTCAGAGCTTACTCCTACTCTGTGCTCAGAGATCATCACTGACAGGGATCAGGGACCAAACGAGGTGCTGATGATCAAACCCAGGTTCACTGTATGTGCAAGACAAACACCCTACTTGCTGTTCTATCTCTCTGGGCCCTGAAAGTACCATCTGAATCAGACGTGGAGAGTAAGGAGCTGAAGCAGGAGCTAACCGAGCCTGGGAGGAAGGCTAGCAAGAGCAATGCAGAAAGCGTGTCAGGGCACACATGCACTGGGGCTGGGAGCCGGCCACAGCAGCATGGAGTCTCCAACAGGCCCAGGCAGGTGCTCCTAGCTAGGAGCACCTCACCAGGCGGGCTGCCCTAGGAACATCCCTCTCCGAAGTTCCAATAAAACAGGTGTGGGGCTACCCGGGGGCTTCAATTAGCGATCTTTGACCACTAAACCCTAAGGCGGGTAGATGACAGTGCAATTAATCACTGCAGGAAGTCCCAGGATCTGACCAAAGCCCAGGGAAGTAGTCAGAACTGCGACCTCTCCCCAGATTCTCCTAACTGGACCTGCCTTCAGTTTGGGGGTGTTTTATCACTGGGAGCTGCTGCTGGCCAGGGACCAGGGCAGTGAGCGCCAGGTGCTGGCCCACACAAGAACTTGCTCCTGCTGTTTTGCCAAAGAACCAGGATGAGGTTTTAAATGATAAATGCAGGATCTGAATTTAATGAGAAGGCAAACTATAATGAAGTCAGGGGGACCGGTTCAGTCTGTCATAGAAACTCTTATTTTTAAATTTCTCAACTATATGATTTTGGAAAGACCATCAAAACTCTGATTTAAATGGCAGCGGGGAGTGAAGTCCAGAAGAAATCCAGCAGCTGCTTCTCCTGGACAAGCTGCTGGGAAGCTTCCTGGCCTTCTCTCCAGGACAGCAGGCACCCTGGAATTGCACCAGGAACATCCTTCCTGCCGTATGCGGGCTTTAAATTTGCCTCTGAGCTTTACTCACAGGTATTTTTATCAGGCTTTTGAATTCTGGAAGTACTTAGCTTATGTTCCAGTGAAAAGTAGTAGGAAAAGTCACAAGTTTCTGTATTCTCTCTCTCTAAATACCCACTTCTCCATTAATGCTCATAGACGTCTGCAACACAGATTTATTACTTACCTCCAGGCAAATCTGCTCTGAAATTACAATTCAGTAATGGGAGATGGATCCAAAACTCTGTTGGTAAAATATTATGTGTGTACTTGGGCATGTAGTTAGGGTTGTTAATATCAATTAATTCTGCTCACAGAGGAGGACTTGTTTTAAAGCAACTTCATTTTTCTTTGGCATATATGTAATTACACAGCTGTAACTAATAGCCATGGCAATGCAATCCACCATCTAAATAAGCAGTGCTATTCTTCAAAGTATTGTTTGTGCTTTTCTAACTTTACTGTCTCAGAATGGTCAGCAGGCCTGACTGAGCACATGTATTGATGCCATGAGAAAGGGACAGAGCCCTCGTGGGAGAAGGTCCCGGTGACCGTGGCCTGTAAAAGAACAGTGTTGTAGCTTGCCAGTCCACTTGCTTTTTCCCCCTACAAACTGAGTAAGATGATATTTATTTCCAAGTGACATTCTTCATCTTTTTCTAATGTATGTTATCAGCACCATTCTTTCCTTTTATCTTTGTATAAACCAAGTGCTCAATCACATTTGCTATTTTGTTTAGGTGACACTCCCATCAATCAGGTAGCTATGGTGCACATACCATGGGGCCGTGGAAATTTCATTACAGTTCACTGAGAGCCCTGAAACAGGACTCGGATGTAACAGAAATTTGGGCAAGGGAAACTTCAAACCTGATGGCAATCAGAGACAGGCATTGAGTAGGTGCCTTCCACAGGCTTCGGCTTTTCTAATTTATAGTTCACAGAGCACACAGGGGGAGCAGGGACAGAAGACACTTCACACACATGCCCAGCGAGGTCTGCCTCAGTCACTCTCCAAGTCCAGCGGCCAGTGGTTGGTGGTAAAGGCCGGCACTTGGGCTTTTCACTAGAGGACAGTGGAATACTTACACATGCAACGGAGGAATTGGAGACGGATCGTAATGGTAACGGCCCTCGTGATGTCTTGCATCGATTGGTACAGGAGGATGGAATGCAGGGAAAAGGTGAGGAGGGTCTGAAAAAGAAATCCAACCAGAAACAATGTGAAATAGAATTATTCCACCCCACACAGCCGCACATTATTCACACATTACACTGAATCTACCTTTAACAATACGCATAAGAATCCTTAAAATTTCACAAGACCATAGGAAGGACTGCATAAGCATGACTAGTCAATACCTTCTCCTAAGAAGGCAGAGTCCATGAAGGCCACTAAAACAGAGAGAAAATCAAGAAAGAGGGATATCACATTATCCTACCCAGGAAAAAAAAACCGGTTAGATCAGGACTGAGGAGTTACAGAATCAACAAGAAAACTTTTCATAAAGTTATATTATCAGGAACCAGGCCGAAAGCACAGAGGGGCTCTTGTCTTACACACAGCCCACCCCCAGCATCCTGAGCCTTGCCAGGAGTGATTCCTGAGTGCAGGACAAGGAGTAAGACCTGAGCACAGCTGGGTATGACCCAAAAAGAAAACAAAACAACCTTAAATTGGCATGATACCCTCCAGTTCAATCCAGTTGCAACACTGCAGAATGTCATCATTCCTTGCAGCTGCACAATATCCCACTGGGAATATATGTCACACCTTTATCATCCAAATGGCAGGAGTCAAACTGCCCCTCAGAGAAGCAGGCTGGGGTGGTGAGGAAGGAACCTGGAGATGCTGGGAGTGAAGGGGGGAGTGGTAGACACTGGTGGTGAGACTGGTGCTGGAAGATTAGCCTAAAACTCTTAATGAATAACTCTAAGTCACAGTGCCTTCATAAAAGAAAGAAGTCAAGTGAATTTTAGACAAAGATATAAAAAGAGATACTTGTTCTATTTCTCCTATACCTGTGAATCTTTAAAGGGAAGAAGCCCTGGCTAGAGTCCCAGGCACACTCACACAGGTTATTCATTCATTTTTTTTTTCCATTTCAATGCATGCTCTCCAGAAATGAACCAGCAATTTACTTTGTTTTCTTCTCCTCTTCTTCCCTGTCCCCAGTTCTTTTCTATGGTGACAGGAAACCTGAGGTCTCCTGTAGGCCTGTATGACCCTGATGGTCTACTGTGCCTCAGCAGTGGGGTCCCAGCAGGCGGGGCGGGCAGCAGCAGGCACTCTCTTTGCTGTGATCACTGCCACCTGTTCCCTGGATGCCCACGCTCCCATGGGGAAATCAGAACCCATAAAATGTCCATCATGACAAGAGGGGTAATTGTTCTGCTTCACTGTACTTGGGGCTTGGAGGAGGGTGCAGGGTGAGGGTAGGGCATGGATCATATGGGTCTCTCCTATTTTTGTCGATGTAAAGTCAGGATGCACACTGATGCCGAATTCAACAGGTAAGAGAAATACTAAGCACCTGAAAGTTCATCACTCTTCATGCATTTCTACATAAAGGAAACATAATAACTTATATTTCAACTGTGTATTAAGGATGTTAGAGCCAGTTGTTTTATAAATCACAGTTCCTAGTCTTCATGATTGTTGTGTTAAGTTTAAAAATTCTTTCTACAAGCCACAACAATACACAGGTATACCAGTCCCCTGCTTCAAAACTTTGGGGCACCTATGGGAGGGAGATAGACCAAGTCCCTGTCCTGCTGAAGCTCCAACAGTCGTACCCACACTCCACAGCTGCCACCAGGCCATACCCCAACTCCGCTGCCTCAGGACTAAGTTCAGGAGTGACACCAAACTGCCGAAAATTCCAGGTATACTGAGGCCTTCCCAGAGTGGGCAGGAAGCTCCCCACATCCCGTTCATCAGGAAGCCCTGTGGCCATGCCCACCTACCACAGCGGCTGCCACATGAGCTCACTGCCCGCTCTGGAGTTCCTGGAGGCCATGTGACACCTCTAAACTCTACAATACCAACATCCCAGTGGGAGCACATCAGAGACAGGAAAGTAAACGCAGAAGCCAACTACACTTCATAACCAAAAGCAGCAGCACAGAAGGTTTAACCAGCAGCAACAGCTTAGTAAACCCACAGATAATGACTTTAATGACCCAATGGTGAGATACGACAATTTTCACAAATTTTCTTTTACTGAGGAATGTTTTGACAATTCCATTAGCCTTAGTGATAACAACAAGCAACATAAAATAAATTATTTTCTGCCTGCTAAAGGGGAAGACTTGAGGGGGCAGGTTGGGAAAAATGGGGACAGTGGTGGCAGGATTGGTGTTGAAATGTTGAAAGCCTGTAACAAAAGTATCATGAACAACTTTGTAAACCACAGTGTTTAAATAAAGGAGGAAAATAGAAATTTATTTTCAATGTTGTCCAACAAAACTAGTCACCCTGTAGATGCCCTGTTTTATTTAACAATGTGCTATGAAGAGTACTAATCCTTCTTAAGTAAAGAGTATTAAGCCTTCTTAAATTCATATATAAAATTAAGTAATATTTTTCACTAGTTCAAAATCTTGACACAGATTCAGTGAAAGCTTCCAGACTTTAAATTTGGAATTAGACCCAAATGAATCCGCTGAGAATCCAGATAGGATGGTCAGTCTTGCTGTGGATCCTGTCTCTCAACTTTACCGTGGCAGAGGTCAATGCTGGTACAAACCTCCTTCAGACTTAATCCATGCACCAGCTCCTGGAACTGGAGCCTCAACCCCACCAGGAGCCTGCACAGATCAAACACTCAGAGTCTGGCCCATCTCCACCTCATCCTGCCCCTGGAGAGACACGCCCAGTGTCAGCGTTAGAGGACAGTTCCACTTCTTGGCTCTTGGCTCTGTCCTGAGATTAAATTCTCTCCACCAGATATGTGAGTGCTAACTGTGTTTGATTTTCTGTATTTGGGTGCAAGTATAAATTTTGATGAGGCACAAAGGCACATTTTTTCATACAGAGTATTTTTCACCCATACAGGGCTCAGATGTGGAAATTTATTATACCTACCATGTAAACTATATATAGAGTAAATATACTGAGTCTGCTAAATGAATGATTATAATAAAATCATAGTGATTTTGTACAGGGGGATAAAACCAACTAGTGAAGCCTATAAAATTGAAGGCATCCCTGAGCTGTGTAAAAATCTTTTCCACAAGAGGGAAATGTACACACACACACACACACACACACACACTCACAGATACATATACGAAAGTTAGAAAGGCTCAACCTTTAACAACATGTTAGTGATATCTTATAGGAGGTCTTAATGGCCCCTGCAAAAATAGAACAACCTTCACACTCTTTCCTCTATGGATATTTTTTGTAGCATCTTCAGCTGTTTTTCATAACAAACAATTCAAAATATATTATTTCGGCTCTGCTTTGGGACAGGGATTGGGGTTTGGGATGGAAATATCCCAAATATGGTGGTGGGAAGGTATAAGGGTGGTGGGATTGGTGTTTGAATATTAAATGTAATCAAATATTGTGAACTATCTTATAAGATAAAAAAAAATCTCCACAAGGAAGTGCCACTAGCCAATCACGAACATTGGAAAGGTATTGCCAGGTTCAGAGAATATACATACAGAAGGTGTGCCCAGCATGGGCTCCATCCCTGGCACCAGGTGCCCAGGTAACCCTGGGCATCACAGGGCCTGAGCAGCACCATTGTCAGGCCATTGCACTCAACCACTGACCTTGCTGACTTCGAAACATCCAAGGGATACACAGACCTACTGAGCACAGCTCAGGAGACACCACTCCCACCCAGTAATAAGCAGGCACTGTTATTTGTTCATATTTAAGAAATTATGAGTGCTGGAGAGAGAGGACAGCAGGAAGGGTGCTGACCAGTGCAGACAGCCAACCCAGGGCTCATCCCCAGCACCACTCATGAGTCCTAAACCCTGCCAGGAATGATGCCTGAGTGCAGAATGAAGAATAAGCCCTCACCACAACTAGGTGTGGGGGAAAAACCTGAAAGTCTTCTGACAACAATTTGTGGGTTGGGGTGCAAGGGTGGTTTGGGGGCCACACCTAGCTGTGCTCAGGGCTTACTCCTGGATTTGCACTCAAGGATCTCTCCAGGCAGGCCTCAGGGTACCACATGGAGTGTTGGGCATAGAACTAGGTAGCTGTAGGCAAGGCAATCTCCCTCCCAGCCCTCTCTCATTCTCTTGTTTCAAAAGAGAACAGGACCAAGGCATTTAGTCATTTCTCACTGCTGTGCTCGGAGGGTTTTAGGAGGTGGGGGCAAAGCTAGGTTTGTGGTAAAAGTGTCTGCATGCAAGGGTGAGTTCCCAACTTCAATCCCTGGTACCTCCATACAGATGCTATGTGTGACCCAGGTAGCACTGCTATTTGGGATGGCCTGGAGCTACAACCAAGTATGCAATCTTTGCAATCAAGGGTACCCAACCTCCAGTCACTGCAACAACAACAACAAAAGCTAATTCTGATTGAAAGTATGTGGTATGTCTTGCAACACTGGGGGGAAAAAAAAAACAAGGAAATGTATAAATTTTACATTCTGGAATTAGGTTAAATAAAGAAAAACAAATTAATGGATATGATTTGAGATTTGACTAAAGACATCTGGTTTTGGTCTAAGTATTTTACAGTTTCTCTTTGTTTCCCTCTTGATAGCTTAAAATAACTTCTCTGGACTGATGAGATCTATGTAAACTATTACAACTGTGTCAGATACTGGTGGTTAAAATCACATCTTTTCAGTCATATTCTGAGGAAATGCAGTCAGTGACTTGCCTTGGCTCTAATTCGGGACATACTTGTCTATAGTTTAGTAAGTATTATAAAAAGGATGAAATGTTTGGGGAACCTCATTAGTACATACAGATGTGGATTTATCACAACATATACCTGAAAGTCATACAATTCACTTTGATTTTTTTAAAAAGGCATAATTTAGCACAAGTATGTCCTCTGACACTTGTGGGATCACATGGCATTGGTCTTAAATACATGTGTATGTAAATAAATAATGCTCCCTTATTCAAATGCTTATGGTTCCCTTGTATCTTGGCTTGTCATTCCTATCTGGAAAAGCAGCAACCTAGTCCAGCACAGCCCGAGAAACTCCCCTGAAA